TTCGATGCAAACTATCTTGAAATTCAAATCACACCAGAAACTTACCCAACTTGTCGAATTTTTTGGAAAAAATTGGTAACGAATTTTGAGACCAAACTTTCAAGATATTAAGTTTAACAAGATTATGACATGCAAAAAAAAAAAAAAAAAAAAAAATTCAAAACAAAACAATGAACGAAACTATTTTTTTTTCTAATTTTTCAACATTGTTCGTACAAAACTGCAAATTTCTGACATATTTTTTTTTTTTACTCAAAATAAAGTTTTGAGATCGTATATAAATTTTTGGAGAGTGCGATAAACCTAGGCTTTAATACCAAAATTAATGATATGATTCTCTAGTCCCTTGAAGTTTGAGAGCTCGAAGAATCACACAAAAGCAGCATTAGACTCATCATGATAAGCAAAATCGGGTTTTGTGCTCAGTTTGCTAGTTTGTACTAATTTTGGTTGTAATGTTTTTTGGGTTTATGGTCAAAATGGACATCGAAGAAAAAATTTGTCGTAACACCCAAAATTTTTAAAATCGGAATATTTAAAAATAAAAGATTTTTCTTTATTAAAAGACGGAATTCAAATGTGAAAGCGAAAGCGAAATTTGAACTACAAAGGGGTGTCACGTCATGCTTGGGCTACCAACTAGGCCCAAACGCACATGCTACAAGGTTTCTATCTATCTAGATACACAATACAACAACTCAATATCCAATACACAAGGTAACTACACTTCAACAATTCATGTTCTAAAACTAAACGATCTATACCAAATTCAATCCAAGGGCTACGAGCTCTATGCCGCGCTCTCAAACTAGCCACAAACTCCAGATCCTGAAAACAATAAGCATTGAGAAAAACACAGATAAAAGAATTAGCATAAAATGCTATGTAAGCTCTACTCTACCCTGTAAAATACTTACATTTCTAATTTGAAAATAAGTATACTTTGTAAATAGGTTTTGATACTCGGACGCCGCCTAGACCGATTTTTACAACCCTGATTCAAAATGATACGAAGTACTAGTTTTATATAAGTTAATAGAGATTCCAAAACAATAATACTTAGCACTTTCCAAAATAGTATAACTAATACATAAGTCATTCTTTCCCATTTCCAAAATAAGCATAAGTTTGAAAGATTCAAAAATAGCATTTCTCGACATAATACTTCCCAATATAATATCATTTCAAAAACATAATCTCTTCCCAATAATCGTTCCCAAAACATAGATAGACATATATAAGTTAAGTATGGAGGAATATAATATATAGCTCATGACTTCTTATAAACATTTCCAAATTAAAGCATATTATATACATGTATATGGAGGAATTCACAACATATAATATTGCTCATCAAGTAATCACTTCAAGATATAGATTTTTTTTCAAAGTCATTCTCAATCTTGTATATATATAATCATAGATATGGATATTGATAGATATGGAGGTATCCCAATCATCATCTCAAATCATAATTGAAGAGTCATATCAATCACAAGTGTGGAGATCGATATCAAATCATAATAACCAATGCCAATACCAATATCAGTGGAATCAGAACTAGAACCTTAAGTGCGCGCACCCCAGGGATTCCAAGCCTCAAGGTAGTTACTAGCCCTAGTAACCCATGATTTTTCTACCAGGTTACTCACAAATAATAATCATAAACGCAATTTGAAGCTTACCACACTATCGGATCAGTTCACAATGATTGATTGGGACTTTCCACATCATCCACACAAAGGTATGGTTACTAATATTTGTGGGATCAAAATTGATATTTACTCAAATTAAATCATACCAAATTTAGTTTTGAAAAAGTAACCCGATTTATTACCATATTTTTTTTTTTATATAAAAGAAGAAGAGTTAATACCCAAAATCGTCCTCGACTATAGTGGTTTTTCTCAATTTCGTCCTAAACGACTTTAGTGACCTAATATCGTCCCAGACTTTTGTGTTTCGCTCAATTTAATCCCAGACTTTTGTGTTTTTGTTCAATTTAGTCCCTCATTTGTTATTCTGTCCATTTGGTGTTAAATAAATAGACAATTCAGTAATTTTAATATTGGCATCTCTTTACTCATAGACATGTGAACTGCGAAATCCCTTTTTTTTTTTACGAATTACTTCTAGAATTGCTCCTAAAACTGCGAATATAAAATTTGATTTGCAGGTTCGGGAGTAATTCTGGGTGTAATTCGTACAAGAAAGAGGAATTTCGCACTTCACAAGTTGAAAGTAAAGAGAGATCAATATTGACATTACTGAATTGTCCCTTTATTTAACACCAATTTGACGGAATAACAAATGGAGGACTAAATTGAGCGAAACACAAAAGTCTGGGACGATATTAGGTCACCAAAGTCGTTTAGGACGAAATTGAGAAAAACCACTATAGTCGAGGACGATTTTGGGTATTAACTCAAAAGAAGAATTAATGCATGAGTTTTATCAATAGTTGAATAGTTCAAGGAATAGATTTTTTTTAAGTTCTCTAGCATTATGATTTATTTTTATTTTTTGTGTAAAGTTCACTAACATCAAGAGAAATTTTACAATTTATGAGAGATTTTTTTTCATTAATTATAAAAATGTTATTGTCCTTTTCAATTTATAATATCAATATTATTTTTTATAGAGTTAATACCATCTGGAGTCCTCCAAATATAGTAGTTTTGTCACGTTTAGTCCTAAACTTTCAAATTGACCACCCGTGGGCCGTGGTCCTTCGATTTTCAAGTTGCTATCATCTGTGGTCTAAATTAACCACATGGTCCTTCAGGCTTCAACTATCAAATTTTAACCACCCATGGTCCTTCCAAGTGGACCACGACTGGTTAAATTTTGAAAGTTGAAGGACCATGGATTATATGAATGGTAAAATTTGAAAGTCAAAAAGGACCACGAGTGGTCAATTTGAAAGTTTAGGACTAAACATGGCAAAACCACTATACTCGGAAGACCTCATGTGAAAATAACTCTTTTTTTTTATGACTTTTTAATATAGGAAAGAGTGTAAAATCAACTTTAAGTAAAACAAATAGTGCAAATTTTAAAATCAACTCTCTCCCGTATGTAAAAACCAATATGGCCAACACATTGCCCCTTAATTGAGTTGACCCGGTGCGAACGAGGATTAGTGTGAATATAGTACGGACTCAAATGTACCTTTGTGGCCTACTCAGGACACCTCATGGTCTAACAAAAAAAAGTGCAATTCGACCTCTTAATTAAAAGAAGCTCTAATGGAGTGCTCTAAATTGGTAAAATAGTACAATTGAGTCCTAAAATTACTTGTTTATTATGTTACCGCTAATTTGTCAATGACTAGACCTTTCACGTATACTTCTTTCAAATATGGTGCTAACTTAATTGATGAATTGTATAACTTTGAACAAAAATAAAGGAAAAAATGAATATAAAAGTGCCAAACGTAGAGAGTTAGGGCATTCTCAATAGTGGTAGGATTTTGAGTAAATTTTACAGGTGTGACTAGGAAAGAAAAATTGGTGAAAAGGAAAAATAAAAAACAAAATCAAAAATTGAAACCCCCACCCCCCCTAAAACTCTCAAAACCCTGATAAAATCTCCTAAATAACATAACAACCCCATCCCTCTCTCTCCTCTCTCCTCCAACACTATCATTTTTTCTTAAAATCTGTGCAAAATTCCCCTATTGGGGATGGCCTTACAACTGTCTCTATTCAACGACTATGAATGCATGACTGTCTTTAAAACAAATTCAAAAAAAGAGGTAGGGAGAGAACATTACAAGTAGGGGATTGGGTTTATTTGAAGATCCAACCCTATAGGAAGCTATCAGTAGCAGTAAGATCCAACATTAAGCTCACATCTAATTATCTAAATATTATGGACCCTACCAAGTCATTGAGAAGATAGGGATTGTAGCATATAAACTGGCATTGCCACCAAGTGCACAAATCCACCCCGTTTTCCATGTATCACAGCTGAAAAGGAAGGTGGGAAATCAAGTATCCCTGCAATTGGACCCTCATATCACAAGCCAAGAGGGTGAGGTCCTTGCTCAGCCAGTAGCAGCCTTGAACAAGAGGCTAGTGAAGAGAGATAACAAAGCTATAACTCAAATCTTAATGCAATGGGCCAATTTACCGGAAGAAGTTGCAACTTGGGAAGACTTCTACCACATCAAGAAGCAATTTCCTGGGTTTGATCCTTGGGGTCAAGGATCCCTGCAAGAAGGGGGTAATGTAATGATTCAAGGAAGCTGCCAGGGAAATAATGAGTAAACGGCGTTGTAGGACACCACAACGGTTATGGAGGTTAAAAGCTGTTGAAAGTCGTAACCAAACGATGTCGTTTCAATAAGTCAGTAGCGATTGATATAAAGCTTACAACGACGTCGTTAGAAGCAGGGTTGTTAGAAGTTGGAAGTAGTTAGAATAACAGTTGCTTAAATACGCAATATGTACTGAAATGATGTATGTTTTTTGGTAATACAGATTCTGTTTCCTTTCTTCAACCTCTCAATTCTCTCGATTCTCTCTCTCTCTCAAACCCTAGAAACCATAACAGACAGTCATTATTGTTTAAAACTCAAATATCTAGATTTAGACCTTCAAAACTTAGGTGATAAAAGAAGCCATTGGCCACCTTCGTTTGATCTAAGAGAGATGTGATTATTCTTCATTTGAGACTCAAAGGCATATGGACCTTTGAGTCTCAAAACAATCAAGGTGATGTAGTCAACGAATGGAAACAATCACGGTTATCGCCATTTAACACTTTTAGTTTTTATTTATTTATTTATTGTTATTTTCTTTTTCAAAATTGTATCATTTTGTGCAAGGGAACATCACATTTGAAAGAAGTATACTCGAAAAGTCAAATCAATGTGAAATCAACAATTTGATGAATAAATAACTATAGAACTCAATAGCAAATGAGTATCAAATTTAATAAAAATGAAACGAATACGGACCGGGTTTTAATTGCACAGGTTTAAGGGGTTTTTGAGTTGTTTGGGGAAGGGTTTTTCTGGTCAGTCACCGAGTCACTGAATTCCTCCTTTTTGTTTTGCTTTTTTTTTTTTTTTTTGGGTTGTGAGTAGCCGCAGTCTGGAGGAGAAGAAAATCGACCATTTCTTCTTCTTCTTCTTTTTCTTCTTCTTCACGATCAAGCTTCAACCTGTTCACTAGGTCAGATCGAACCAGAAATGGCCACCCTCGTCCCGCCTCATTCCGGCACTGCTCCACCAACCGATCCAAAGGCGGCGCCCACCCAACCGGAAAAGGTGGACTACATGAATCTGCCTTGTCCCATTCCCTATGAAGAAATCCAACGCGAAGCTCTCAGTCAGTATTTCACTACTCTTCCCCACCTTTTACATTCCTATTTTATATTTTGCCTGATTTTTGAACTTCTTTTATACTGTAATCTATCTGGATTTCAGGGAGCCTGATGCTTAGCAAAACATGGAATGCTACTATGAATATGTTTTTTCTTTTTTTTTTTTTTTAATTCCTTTGTTGTTATTTTTTGATAAGTTTTAATTTAATCTTGTTTTCTCTACACTGTACTATGAATATGCTTGAATTTTATTTTGAACTATCTAATAAATGGTATAAAAATTAAAACCGTTTGTGCATTATACGTTAGAAGCGTGAAGTATGTAAATGGAGCATTATTAAGTGCTTAACATTATTTTTTTGGTGTGCAAAAGTCATAGTGATGCTTTTTTGTTGTAAATCAGATGAATAATATTTTATCTAAGACAATAAATTGCACATTTTTGTTGACTCTTTAATATCACTGTTAAAAGAATGTTGTCTCTTAAATAATGCAAAGTAGTTATTTCATGCCCCACTCTAGAAGTTTTTGATATTTGAGATTTGATTTTGAATCATCGAGTTTCACAGTATTGATTTCATTTGCTTGTTGCTCTTTTTGCAGTGTCATTGAAGCCAGAACTTTTTGAAGGGATGCGCTTTGATTTTACGAAAGGACTAAACCAGAGATTTTCACTCAGTCATAGGTCGTACCTCTAATGCAACTTGTTAAATTTAATGCTGACTTTATTTTCTCAAGGGAAGGAAAACTGCTGTAATGTATTTGATTTTGATTGTTTTTCTTTTGCTATTTCATCAGTGTGTTCATGGGCCCCACAGAAATTCCTTCTCAGTCTACTGAAACAATTAAAATACCAACTGCTCACTATGAGTTTGGTGCAAACTTTATAGACCCAAAGGTTTGTAGGTTGGATAGTCGTTTCTTAAATATCTGGAGTTCTTGCAATAAACTAATTCTGGGTATAATGCCTGTTTGTTACAGTTGATGCTTTTTGGGCGGCTGATGACAGATGGAAGGCTAAATGCTAGGCTCAAGTGTGATTTGTCTGAAAACCTTTCTCTGAAAGCAAACGGTCAAGTAAATATATGATTTTGAAATTGGATCTAATCCTTTTATAAGTGATTAATACTGATGCATCAGTTTTATCTGACAAAATTATCCCATTAACTCCTATTCTCCTTATTACCAGCTTACAAGTGAGGCACACATGTCACATGGCATGGTCAATTTTGATTACAAGGTGACCCTATCTGCATTCAATTATTTCATGCATGTCTTCTGAACATACTTCAGCTTCCATGATACTGTCACATATATCCCCTGATTTGTCATCGCACATACTCTGAAAAAATTTATTAATGCTTTTCATCTGTTTGACCTAGATTTGGCCAACTCAATGTGATAATGGGTTTCTGAGTTTATCATTGTTATATGCACAGGGGAAAGACTATAGGTCTCAGTTTCAACTAGGTAGTGGTGCATTGCTTGGAGCGAGTTACATCCAGGTAAATAATCATCAAGCACATCATGCTTACTGAAGTGTAAAAGAAATTGATTGTGATTATCAGCCCAAATTTTTGAAATCTCTTCAGACGGAACTAGAATTACACATTTCTTTGTTTATTTGTTAACATTCATGATTGGTTATCTACAAATTTGGTTAGTTCTTTAAATTCTTTGTTAATTGCCTATTCTTAATGATGTATTTCTTTGTTTGACTTTGATATTCTTTGGCAGAGTGTGACTCCATATTTATCTCTGGGTGGTGAAGTATTCTGGGCTGGCCAGCATCGTAAATCTGGCATTGGCTATGTTGCTCGGTATAACACAGACAAGATGGTAATGTGATGTTCTTAAAGTGATCTGTTCAATTGTAATTATGTACCATGATTCTCTGGTTTAGCCAATAATGTCAGGTTGTCCAAGGATGCAGCAAATTTAGTACTAAATTTCCATGCTCTCCACAATGATGATTTATCTACAAACATAAGAGCTTACAATGATTTTGATACATCTATTTATCATTTACCGATGACACACTGATGCAATCAAATTAAAATGGTATTTTTGGGGGTAAATTTCAGTTGATTATACTTGAAGCAATCACCTAGATAATTCAGATTCTTTAGACAAAGACAGCTGTGAAATTGGATGATGGAAATGTTAGATGATTTATATGGAAAACAAATGAGGCCTTTACCTTACTAGACCCTCGATTTATTTCTTTTGTGACTTTTTAGTTACTAGGTTAAACTTTGTCTGTAAATGTCTTCCATAGTTCTATCCTATTTTATTCTTGGTCATAATCAAGAGATCAATTTGATTTGCAGTATCTTGACAAGCAATCATTAGAAATGTGATTGTCAGAATTGATTTTTTTCCATCCTATATACAAAACTTAATAAAATATATGAACTGAATATTGTTTAAAATATATGAAATTAAGTTTTTCTGGTTTTCCTTTGCATTTGTACAGGGAAGAGGTTACAGGTTTTTTCATCGATGCTTATATTTGGTTTTATTTTTTCAGTCTTTCTGGCTAATATTGCTGATTCATCCGTTAAAACCTAATATTGTTGGCCATAATACCTGCAGGTTGCCGCAGGTCAAGTTGCTAGCACTGGAATAGTTGCACTCAGTTATGTTCAGAAAGTTTCCGAAAAGGTAAAAAAGTTACCTCTTTTATAGATGTTTATGTCTTATCTTGCACTTTTTAAAAATTGTTTCTCCCCTTCAGGTTTCTTTAGCATCAGACTTCATGTACAACTACCTCTCGACAGATGTTACAGCCAGCTTTGGTTATGATTATATTCTTCGACAGGTAATTTCTGCTGTCTATATATATATATACACACATACATCCTTGATTGATGATGTGCTGGGCAATATTTTCTTTGTATGGTTCAGTGGCTTTTTCTACAAGTCCTAGTTTGTGGTAAATTCTTCATAGTGTGATATAAACTTCAATTTAGAAGTATCAGGAAATATGAACTCTGATATTGTAGAGGTAAAGTATAACCTGCAAGTTTATTCTTTGCAAAGAAGCACGCATGAATCTAGCGAAGTCTACAAGCATAAAAGGTCCCCTTTTTCCACTGAGTTTAGCCCATTTAGGGAAAAAAATTGTGAGAAAATATGCAAGAGCTTTTAAGTTTAATCTGCTTAATGAGCTTAAAGTTGTACAAGGTTGGCTCTTGCAATTGTGCTAAGTTTCCTTTGTCCAAGTGAAATTAGAAGATATGACGGCCTTGAAAGAATTAACTTCCATCTATGTGCTACTAATATTTGCTTAACTAAATGTTTTGAAAGACAAATATAAGAAACTATCATAAAATAATAGAAACATGAGTAGAACTATTGGGTTCTCAATATCATTATGCTTCATCCAGAAAGACTACTGCTATTGCATTAGTTTTTGTTTTAGTTTGATATTCTCAACATGCATTTAACACTTTCAAGTTCCTCAAATCTGCAATGGGTTTTTGGCTTTGATGGCAGTGCCGTCTGAGAGGGAAAATTGATTCCAACGGCTGCGTTGCTGCTTTCCTGGAAGAGCGATTGAACATGGGCCTTAATTTTATTCTCTCTGCTGAGGTAATCTTACCTTGCCTTAACCATATTCTTATGACCAGTACTATTATCAGGATTAATAACATTAAACATTTTCTTGGCATGGATCTTTTAGATAATATTCTGATGTGTTCCTCGAATATGCTGGTGCAGGTTGATCACAAAAAGAAAGACTACAAGTTCGGGTTTGGGCTTACAGTTGGAGAATAATTGAATGGGAAGAAGCATTTAGACATTTGATGTTGAATGGTGGAATCATCTTTGTTTGCTTAATGATTGTTTTCCCTATTTTGGTCATTAAAAATTTAGGCAACAGTTTTGTACTTTTGTATAAATTGTCACCATTGATGAGATGACACACAGGTGACAAACAGACAGGCTGCTGAGCCTCTAGGAGGAGAGGTTGATTTTGCAGTTTGGAGAAATTGATTTACTTAGAAGATGCTAATTTATAGCTGTAGAGCTCTTCACATTCATAAGGACTTCCAAATTTTTCTCATCATAAACTCTCTCTTGCATCACTAATTCACTACTTGTCTTCCTTTACCTTGATCTGTATTTCTTTCAATATCATAAAAGGCAATTGTACCTCCTTGCTAATACCAATTCATGGAATAGAAAAATGAACCAAATAATAGAATATGCATATTTTGTGAAATATTATTCCATTTTCTGTCCATTTTGTGATTTAAAAAATAAAATTGGGAAAGTTTTATTATGGGTACAATTGAGGGAAAGGGAGTGATGGAATTTGAATATATCAATTTAGAGTGAATTCCATTTTTGGTCCTACTGTTATAGGGACGTTTTCAATTTTAGTCCACCTTAATTTTTTTTTTGCCACTTTATAATTACTATTATTGAATGTGTTCTACTTTGAGTCCCATCGTTTCATCAAGAGCCCATGTAATCTAGGGGTATTTTGACCCTTCTTCTCATCCAAGACTATGTTTGACTAAAGAAATGAGAACATTAAACCTAAAACCTAAGAAACCTCGCCACGATGTAGCTTTGGTTTCCCATTCTTGTTGTTCGAAGAGCCATCTTCGAATATCGGAGGAGAAGGACGAAGCGCCTGGATTAAAAGAGAAGAGACAAACATAATAAGACCAAAATACCCTTTGATTATACGGTCTCTTGACGGAAATATTAACGGTGGACTAAGAGTGGAACACATTCAATAACAGTGGTTGTAAAGTGGCAAAAAAAATTAAAGTGAACTGAAATTGAAAACGCCCCTATAACAGTAGGACCAAAAATGAAATTCACTCAGTAATTTATTACTGAACTATATTTTTGGATTATCTAACGGTTTGCTTAATTGGAATAATTGCTTAGTTATTTCAAGATTTATAAGAGAATGCTCTTCTTCCTCGTTTTATGTTTGGGTTAATTAATGAAACATTTTTTATAATACTATATTTGTCCAATTTTATGTATCTAGTTCGGTTTACGTGCTTCACTAAAGTTATTTTTAATTCAAATTTATATAATATTAAGTTCAGTATTAATATATAAAATTTATACATTACTAAAAAAAATTAAATTTAAAAATAAGCAAAGAAAAAAAAAATAGTTTGATCAATAGAACAATTAACATTTTTAATGTCAAATGTTTATTCTATTTACGTTTCTTATTATAATCCACTTACATAGTAATAGTAAAATATAACAGATAAGTACTGCAGCCCTTAGTCAATATCCCACCATAGGGGTTGATCCTCTCCACAAAGGTGTCATCTGAGCACATGGCGATTGGCTAGATAGAGTATTTAATTTAGTGTTTGTAGATAAAAATTATATATTTAAAAAATGCATTAAAAATATTACTCCGTATTAAATAAAATTTTAAAAATATCAAAGTAAAGTAGGACATAGAGAGTATTATACAGGCTTTTGTTCATCTCCTCGACAGTAGAGGAATGAAGCATGAGTGCAAATCAAAATCATTAAAAGCGTGAAACGAGAAGACACTGCTGCAGCAGCAAATCAAACCATTTGATGAAGATGCAGAATTTCATTTTAAGGTAATAGTTACTAAAATACGCAATATAAGAAAATCATGGGTGCTAAGCAAACCTTGGGGTGGTTAAATAACAGTACATAATACAATTCAGCAACCAAGATTGTTGTCTAATAAAGTTGTTGTACATTTGTCTTTTCACCTAGGATTTGCTAGCTTTTTGTTTGGCCTTCTCTATGAGAGGTCTCAACTGCTTCTTTTCAGCAAGAATCTTGAGGAAGTTGAACAGGAAGGGAATGTAGTTGTGCTTTCGGCGAATGTTTTCTGTTTTCCATTTCTTGAACTTCTCTTCCTCCATCAATATCTTCTCGGTGGCCGCTTCAATGCCAGAATTCACTTCCATTAGTGATTTATTCAGAGCTTCCACATTGCTGCTATCGACCAGCCTCTCCGACTGTAAAGTAGCCAGTTGCTGCAGGATGCGTTCCCTTTTTCTTTGAAGCTCCTTTAGCTCGGCTGTATACATGTCTTTCCTGTTCTTTATTACGGCCATCAGGTTGAACCTAATTTCATTTCTCGAGTACTTTTCAATGCGTTCCTGAATCACTGGCTGCACCAAACGCAACCAATCTAGGTCATTGTGCCCACCAGGGCATGGACCGAGGCTGATGGGACCTTCTTTCAATCCATCAAGCTCATAGAGTATACCATCGACTGGTATGTAGCTTATGAAATGGTAAACATCATCATCTTTCCCAGCAGATTTCTGCTCCTCGGGAACAAAGGGCTCTGGTCTTGCAAAGCTATTATGGGCACCTCGAATTGCCTCACTGTTATTGATAGCTAAACCTTTAAGCTCGGGTGGAAAGTTCTTTGTGAATTCTTTCAACTGTGATAGTTCTGGGCCAATGTCAATATCTGGGCTGTTCAGAAGAATGGACAGGATTGCTTGGGTAGCACACGCATTATTGATAACCTGATATTATACAAATGACGATCAAGATAGTGCTTCACTATCTATTTATTCCATAGAAGTATATCATGTACTAATGTACTACTAAAACCTGACCTGGCTAGCAAAGAACAAGTTAGGACTGGGATCCTTAATCACAAGACGGTCATCTTTTTCATCCGGTCGCCACTTGAAAAGAAATATTAATCCATAGATTGGCCTGTTTAACAGGGATGTAATTATGATTACAAAAAAAAAAAAAGAAAAAAAAGAAAAAAGAAGCAGCTATCACATAGATTAAGCAAGTAATAGCATGGCCAGCAAATAGATTATTGCCAAAATCACAGAAACAAAGTGCAACTACATGAAATTCACCTAAGGTTGTTGAGGGCGTCGATATCCAGTGAATACAATTCCTCAACCTGTTTGAATAGCAGAATGATGTAAGAATAACTGTTGAATGCAAAACGGCCAACAAACAAGGATTCCAAAACCATGGGTCTAAGAAACATAAAAATATGTAGACAACTTTACAATGAGAATGGAGTATAAATAAAGGAACCGAGGCCATGTCACCAGTAAACACTCCATAAAGTTTATCACTTTACTGTAAACAATTACCAATCAATTTCAAGAAAGCCAGTACCACATGACTACAGAAGGTTAACAAACACGATTAGGGAAGCAGGCAGCTTTAAGCACTTAAACTATGATTTGAATCAAGCTATACTAGAAGAGAGAAAGAGGGAAACATTACATGTTATTATGGAAAGCGGTTTCAAAAAACAAAGGTTACCTGCACTCCCTTTACTTGCATTTGCTGAATAAGCTCAGTGAAAACCCCTGAAATACAAGAAACAGCATAGCAACAGGCATCTTATTATTCAGATACTGATATCTTTAACAGAGGTGCAACAAAACCAAATATGCAGTAGTAATTAATTGTAACTATGGCTTGAAGCAAATCATAAATACATAGTAGCATCAGTACTGAAACACATTTAAACAGTGAGATAAAATTAAACACAAAGCATCATTCAAACTAGACTAGTGCATGTTAATATAAGAATCATAAATCATAAATAAATAAATAAATAACACCAGCATCCATACCACCAAAATATCAAAAAATTTGGGCCAGTAAGAACATACCGGGATCTGATTCGATAGTGCACCAAGACATGATGAATGATCTTTACTGCAATCAAAAATAATATATACATTAAGAATGTATTACAACAAAGGGAGTAATTGACGGTATGGAAAGTGTAATCCCTAATAAAAACTGAAACCTTAATATCCACACAGATTATATCAATTTCAAGCCCTATGAATTCCGAGAGAAGAAAATTTTGAAAAACACAAAACTTGAGCTGATAAATCCCAATTTTGTTTGGGTGTCATATCTTGCAATAATTGATAGCTCACTCAGGAGCCCAGTAAATTTACAGCAGCTTTTACATGCGGTCTTACCGTAAGCAGAAGATAAGCAGCGGAGAAGGAGGACGGCCGTCAGAAGGTGGGACGCGGCGGCCGGTACGGAGACTTGAGAGATATATCTGGATTTCACGGTGGAGTAGTGGTTATTGTCGGTATTTCAACCTCCGAACAGTAGAGTTTTAATGGAGTTTTGACTGTATTGATTTTTGGGCAAGGGCCTAGGGTTGCAGCTTCTAACGGGCCTGCATAGAAGCAATATTCACCATATATATTGTCACTATATTTTTTGGGCCTTTAGTTGGATAACTTTGGCTTTTGTTACTATTATCTCTACTATCTCTACTATACTAATAAGAGCCCAAGAGAGTTAGGCCTATAATGGGTAGAAAAAATAGCGGTCACAGATTTTAATCAAATGAATGACTCAGATTGATTAAAAGATTGATCAGATTTAAATTTTACACTAAAATTTCCTAAAATACCCACACACCGTTACTAATTCCGTTAAAATTTTAAGAATTGCCGTTAGTTCACCGTTAACTTACTCATTGATTTCAATAAAAAAAAAAAAAGTCTTAAGTTCGAACCTCATCCCAATCAAAGTTGGCATAATTAGAACTCTATTTTACTCTTATTAAATTATATAAATAATAATTTAGTAGCTACAACAAAAAATTATAGATATGCATTTCTTTAATTTAGAATTATGTGTCCACAATGCCTTTATTCAAAAAAATTATTCATTATCAATAAATTAAATAAGAGAAATAATTGTATTAGTTATATTGTCTTTATTTTTCTACAATATAAAAATTCTTTATATTCAAATTTATTAATTGATTATATTCGCTACATTGTCCTTACAATGTCTTAATTCAGTGAAAAAAAATTATTCATTATCAATAAATGAATTAAGAGAAATATTTTCATTAGTTATATTGTCTTTATTTTTCTCAAATGTAAAAATTTTTACATTCAAATTCATCAATTGATTATATTCACTACATTGTCTATTATCCTTTTTTTTTGCACTATTTTTCTAATTAAATATCAAAGTTATAATACAAAATAATGCTATATATTTATTTACCAAGTATTTTATTAATACCATGAAAAAATTAAAAAAATATATAATTAATAAAGCCAACCATATTAACTACTTGAGAGATT